CTGTCTGTCCGCCTGTCTGTCTATCTGTCCGCCTGTCTGTCTGTCTGTCCATCCGCCTGTCTGTCTGTCCGTCCGTCCGTCTGTCCGTCCGTCCATCTGTCTGTCTGCCTGTCTGACATAATTTTGGGACACACATGTTTTTTCTATTTTACCAAAGAAAAAAAATACATGGCAAATTACAATACATTTTTTGAAAATCTGTTTTTTGTGATGTACCTGTGCTATATTATTATGAGTTGGAAAGACAATTATGCAATCGCAGAACAGGAGACTGCAGCCCAGGACAGATTGCATTGCTTAAACTGGGGTCTCTCAGTCCTGCCGCGCTTTCAGTTACATCGCTGAGCCCTTAATTGGCCTAATAACAGGACTAATTGAGATTGTTGTGGTTGTTGTTGTTGACTACGGAATTTGCCATTTTAACTGCTATTTTTCCAGTTTAATTAGTTAACGGACTCCACTCCACTAACGCAGTGAGCTGGGTGAAGTTCTGACTTAGAAGAACACATTGCTGGTTTGACCTAAAACACTGGTTTTAGATGCTAGATAAATAGTAGAGTCATACAGTTTTCACCAAGACAGATCTCTGCACCTTGTCTTAACCAGCATGTTCTCCTTTTTTTTTTTGGTGTTTATTTCTTAAGAAATTGCTTTATTTCCTTTATGTCCAGCCCCTGCCTCTGAGGAGCCACAATCCAGCTGGGTTTACACTGTGCGTCACCCTTAACGGACACAAGGAGGAATTTCATTTTGATCACTTAAGCAGGTAATTGGTCCCATAAAGTAAAAATAAAATCCTGTAAGTCTCGAGGATCTAAACTGTGTCATCGAACGTCGTGCATGTTCCTGGCGATCCCGAATCGCTGATCCAGGGGTGAGTTATCCGACCCGGTGGACGCTGGCTCTCCAGGAGCAGTGCTCTTACACACTGGCTTCACTGACCGGGCACCTGGCTCTGCCTAAGGAAACCATCAGTGTGAACCACTGGTGAGCGATTGATTACAGGCGAGGGAAGTGCTGAGCTGAACTGCTCACTGATTGTGTCCGATTGTGTGCTCTAGGTCTCCTCACAGCTCGGAAGATGCTCCGGCCCCGGAGGGCAATCCAGGCTCTGATCGCCGTGGTCTGCATTGTCTTGGCTCTGGCGAACTCCCAGGAGAGCGAGAAGTAAGTGTTGTGCTGTTTCAGCTGCGCAGGAGGAACACAGTGGCCTCTACTGGTCTGGACTCTAGACATTGATTGGCCCATTAATTAACTGATTAATTAATGTATTAATAAGTAAATAAATAACTGTATTAATGGGAGTTTGCTTAGGAGCTGCATAAACAGCTGCACTTCATCTGAGTCAGAAACAGCTGGAAAAAGGTTTTAAAGCTGTTTGTTATAACAATAACGTTCCAGAAATTAACGCATTTGTTATTCAAGTCATTTATCTGTATAGCAATATAATTGCTTTGTAATTCATGGAGAACTACAATCTCACTGGTACTTTAAATGGAGGTTACATACTGCAATACAACATAGAGACGACCAAAATCGCATGGCAAAGTTCCTGACGCGCTGCGTGAGTCGCAAAGCTCAGTACCGGTGCTTCGGCGCTTGACAGCACGCGCTGCAGAGCTGTTCTAGGTCAATAGGCGTCATCTGGTGGAAGATGAAATAAAGTGCGGTCTTCTGTCGGCGTTGTCGAAATTATGCTGCAAGCAGTCCGGGTGCATTTTGGTCTTTTCACACTAGGGGGCGTCCAATGAAGTCAAAGTCTTAAGGTGTTGAGAAGCCGAAGCCGCTCGCCCCGCCTTTGCTTATATTGTTGAGTCGTGCAGTGATGAGTGAGGCGTGCAGACCCGTGCTGCAGGCAGTGGGGAACGGGGTACCCCCGACATGCCGAGGCGGACGAGGTGAAAACGGGGCGATAAATGAGCAGTGCGAGGAGAGGTTCACTCTCGCGCCCCTCCTCCGCCGCTGCGCTGCTACAGGCGCCGAAGAGCTGAAGTGTGACTAATAACCGTCCGCGAAACCGCTATCGCACCCGCCTGGGACCGCTGCTCTGGGGACACAGGGAGGTGGAGTGAGGGCGAGATAACACGGAACTGGGGGTGGATACATCAAATGCACGAGAGACATGCTAACGAAGCACCTTGAATTTAATTGAATTGATGAAAGCAAGAGATAACATTATTAATCGGAGCCCGACCCACTGAGGTCTGCACATGCGCTTCCCGCTCCGCCCCCCACCCCCCTCCGTTCCAGCTCTTCCCGGCCGTGCTGCACGAGCCGCACGCACTGCCCGAGCGCGCTCAGCGTGTCCCCGCAGCTCGAGGGCAGGGAAGCGCAGTCAGCTCGTGCCCAGTCCCGCACGGACAGCGATTTGACAAGGCGCGCGGACAGGTTTGCACGTCTTGGAACACGTGGTTGGTAAAAACCCAGTGCAGCGTGGACAGGGTGCAAACCACGTGTTCAGTCAGGGAAACGATATAGAAATACGACAGAGATGATTTTTTAAGCGCATTACCCCGAGGCTGAGAAGAACAGGGCTAGGTGGAGAAGATCTCCCCCGTTTTTATATAATCTGTACCATTTCTGAATTACCCAAAACAATCCCTTTTCTAATTGAGACTCTTAATATAACCAGGACAGCTACTTCTGCTGATCTTTGTGTTTTCAGAGAAGCAAAACCAGTTCACACCTTATCTAAGTAATCCTGATTGATTTTAAAAGGTGTTTAAACATCTGCAGGCAATGGAATGAAGCCAGTCATTGAATTACTTTAAACTGGATGTAAGTGAGTACATGTGAGTCTGCAGCTCCAAATCTGTTTTTGTAGAGCCAGATTAAAAGGAAGCTAAAAATCCGAAGAGAGAAAGGCTGAAGACTTTGGGAGTGAAGGACTAGGGAATCAATCAATCAATCAATTAGATTCTTATATTGTTGCACTTTCAACCCAGAGCATTCTCAAGGCACTCTACAAGTTAGAGTGCGCCAGCGATCAGTGTGTCCTCTGCAGGCGGGGGAGTGATCAGTGTGTCCTCTGCAGGCGGGGGAGTGATCAGTGTGTCTTCAGCAGGCGGGGGAGTGATCAGTGTGTCTTTAGCAGGTGGGACAGTGATCAGTGTGTCTTTAGCAGG